GGGCGCGGACGGAGAACGTGTTTAATCGAGGAGGTGGGGGGTGGACGGCGCCCCTCCCAGACCTCGCCCCCCCAGCCGGGGGAAAAAAGAGAAACACCCCCAAAAAAAAAAAAAAAAAAAAAAAAAAAAAAAACCCACAACTGTCACTCATATTAGCCAGGATGACATACTTAGCCATTTTTTGTGGTTTGGACAAGGTTCATGTTTTATCTGTTTTCAGATATGATTATGGAGTGGTCCTAATTTTGTCTTAATCCATCACAGTTACAGAATACTCTTACCTGACATTAGTGTTTCAGGAAATGGTTTACGTTCAGTGACAGAACACCAAACTTAGTTGTGAGTGCCAGGCTAGCTCCTGAATGCCAGGGACTGATTTTCTTTTCACACATGTGTGTAGAATAGAATTATGACAAATATCATTTATTATATGCCAGTGATATTTCAGGCTGTAGGCACTGTTTTAAGTGCTTTACATCTCCTAATCTATTTAATCCTCACAGCAGTTCTATGGGGTTGGTATTGTTATTCCCATTTTCCAGAAGAGAAAAACTGTGCCATAAAGAAGTAAGGATGCCCATTGTATTTTAGCTAGTAAATACTGGAGCAAGGATTCAACTCAGTGGCTACAGAACCAAAAGCCTCAACTTCTATATTATATTGCCTATGTGTACAATAAATTATCAACAAAGGTTGAAAGGTAGTGGGAGTACACCAATACAGGTGTTTTGGTTTCCTTCCTTTTCTTGTTCTTACCTTCCAAATTGTCTAAAATTAATATGTACTCAATTTAAACCGAAAAAGTAATAACTTATTAACGTTCCGGTGAAAGCTCTGATCACAAAGTCATTGGCCCAAATGCAAACCCAGGTCGTTGGTGGAGGCAACGCTCCCAGAACTTCTACAAAAAGAGAAGAAAAATCGGGAGGGGGCAACACCCTTCCTGCACTCTTCTGTGTGGTCTCTCTCTCTCTCTCTCTTTCTCTCTCTCCTCACTCTCACTCTCTCTGCTGCTCCAATTCAATTTAGACAACACTAACTGGATTGCCTGCAGTAAAAGGTGTCCCAAGGTCCACACTCACTTGGTTCTGTCTCCAAATTGAAACATACAGGGTGGAAGCGCCCCTAAAGATACGTAAGGACAGTTAGGAATAGAGTAGGGAGGACTAGAAACAAATGCCTTGGCCCTAAAGGAAAGGCCTTTTCTGTGTGGGAGGACAACACTCTCGCCCTGGCCAGCTGAGCAATGCAGTTTCTCCTGCTCTAAGATGCAGCACAGGCACTGAGGGAGGGCACTCCTTTCTTCAGCCCTTGTGAGGGCTGACATTAAAAGGCCGGAAATTCTAGGGAAGAGGGCGAACCGAGGTTGGGAGGGAGCCATTTGGAGGGTCAAAGACTTCAGAATGAAAAGAGCTTCGTCAAAATGTTAAAGGCGTCCAAGGAGACCTGTCAGCTGGTTTACCTTCTGTTACTTTTGTCCCTGTGCTGGCATCAGGGCACCTAAAACAGCTCTGTTCATTCCCTGTGCAGAGACCGATTTTAGGCCTCCTGAGAAGTGCCCACCCACTAGCTGCTGCTGGCTCCGTTGCAAAGAGCTGGGTTCGCAGTATTTCCCACCGCCACCCCTCCTCCCCGCCCTTCCATCTTTCTGCCCGGGCTGAGAGCCACGCGGGGCATCCACCCTGTCATTTAGCACCTCGGCTACGCAATGGTGGGTGGTTTCCCAAAGCGTGTGCCCTCGCAGCCACTCACGCTCGCCTCACCGCTTGCAGGGGCACAAGTCAATGAGGTTTTTCCCTCCGCAATCATCGTGAATCAGCAAAGCGCTGCAGAACAGCGGCATCTCCGCGAGCAGAAATTAAGATGCTGGGGGAATGGCACAAGTGCGGTGTGGCATGGGGAATTTCTAGCCCCTTCCTATGTGTCCCTCCCAGGGATGGCAATACTGGGGGTGGGGAGCCCGCTGGAAGCTGCTGGACTTAGGCGTCCTGGGGAGCCTTTGGCAACAGAGCAGTGTGGGGAATAAGGAGGAAGAGCACAGAAAGTGGATGAGAAATGGGTGGAAGGATCTAGGGAACACAAGCAGGGCAGGGCAGGTGTGCCCCCTGGTCGGGCAGCGCAGCAGGTGCAGGTGTTGCTGAGGAAAGGTAGGAAGGAGGGTCTGGTATGGGGGAAGGGAGGAGATCATCAAATAGGGAGGATTTCCCAAAACGCGACTTCCTGTTTCCAACGTGCAAGTTCCCAAGTTCAGTTTGAGAAGTGAAGGGCCGCTAGGTGTAGGGGAGTCTGGAATGGGAACGTTAGGGAAATGCCTCCCGAAGGCACCTTCTCCTACCCATTCTCCTCTTTCTTCCCTCACCACTCCCCTTCCTCCTCCGTCCCTATTCCATCTGCCTTCAGCTTTGATTAATATGCATGTCTAGCTCCTTAGTGCGGGCCACCGCCTCCCATTCGACCCCTAGCACTGGGAGGCTGAGCGGGCGGCTGAGCGCTCCGTGCACGGAGCCTGAGGACCCCTCGCCGTGCCCTGGACCCCACCGCCCCGGCCTGAGGGAGCCCCTCAGTGACCCAGACTCCGAGATCCCGCTCAGTCTGCGTTGCTGTGGACAGACCCAGGAGCTTGGAGCGCGAAATGAAACGCGCTAAATTGTACCTGTGCGTGGCCGTTCCCGCCGCCGCCGCAGGTCTTTCCCCGGGCCGACGCCGGCGCCCGCCTTCTCGGGGAATTCTCCGGAGGGGGAGTGCGAGGGGAACCACGGTGACTGCCTGCTAGCTCACGGCTGGCTGGGGAACACACGCACACGCCCAACTTTGCCAAGCCATCGGCGCCCCCCGGGCTCCCCCGCGCCCCCTGCGGCTCAACACACTCCGAGACCTGTATCTCTTCTGGTCTGAGATAAGGTTCCCTCCACTCTCACACCTTCGCGGGTGGGGGAGAAGAGGGCGGAGTGAGGCAGAGAAGGGGGTTAATGCTACGGACTCCCTGGCCAGCCTTTCTCAAACACTCTATGCCCGCAGGGGCGCCCGCGCCAGCCACGCCGCACCAGGTCCCCCAGACCTGCTGGTGACGACAGAGAGAGGAGGAGGAGGAGAAGGCAGGGCGAAGAGCCGGGAGCCCGGGAGCCCCGGAGCCCTGGCGACAGACAGTTCTATCGACTGACCGGCATTATCAGCACTTTTATTACTAAAGGACTGGGTGGGGAGGTTGGGGGGTGTGCAACAGAGCTGGACAGCCTCAATCCACTCTGGAGCGACCCTAAATGAGGGCCAGAAAGATTCTCCAAGGATACCTTTTAAGTGGACGTGCTCCAGTCACACAGCCGGACCCCTTGGTCCCGTCGAAGCTACAGTGTTGGGGATATTTTAAACGGCTCTTATTTGGGAGGAGGCGTGATTTCCACCTTCGAGTGTCTTCGCTCCCCACCCCCTCTCCGCACCAGCCAGTGCGCGCCACCACCTGAGCCTGGCGAGAGCCGGGACGCACGCAGTCTTCAGCCTGCTCCTTTTCGCCTCTGGGGAGACTCGACTCTGAGCGGGTCTGCCCGACACCCATCCCCTCCCCCCTCCGGAGAACTCTTTACTTTTTGTTTGGAAAATCGGGGCCATTTCTTTCTTTATCTCTGAGTCTTCCCGGAGGAGGGCAGAGAAGGGGAGAGAGAGCTCCGCTGGCCGGGCCAGGCCGGGGGAGGGGAGTGCACAGAGGGGAGGGGACTGGGTGTAGCCTGGAATTCTCCGTCCTCGTGTTCCTGGGCTGGCGCGCAGAGTCTCCTGGCGCTAGCGCCGTCGCCGCTCCCCGCACCACCCCATCGTTGGCCTTGGGGGTCGGGTGAGTGGGGTCACGACGCCCCGCGGGGGCTGCCCCGGGCTCCGCCCGCGCTGAGTGGGCACGCGGCCGGGCGACGTGGAGCCCCCCGGGCGGGGAGGCGGCGGGGGGTGGGGAGGGCGCACGCGATAGGGCGGAGTGGGTGCGGCGCAGAGGCCGCCAAGCTGGGGGGCTCTTCGGGAGGGCGCGGCCGTGGGCAGGAGGGCGTGTCTCCAGCCCGAGGGGACCCTCCCGAGGCGCGGCGCGGGACTCCCCGATGGTGGTGCCGCGGCTCCGGGAGAGCTCAGGGTCTCGCCATCGCCGTCGCCGCCGTCGCCGCCGCCGCGGGCGCCGCCGCCGCCGCCGCCGCCGCCGCCCGAACCCGAGCCGAGCGTGCGCCTCGCCCTCCTCCCGCGCCCGCTCTGCTCTAGGATGCTGCGGCAGGTTCTGCACAGGGGCTTGAGGACGTGTTTCTCCCGGCTTGGCCACTTCATTGCCAGTCACCCTGTCTTCTTCGCCTCGGCGCCGGTGCTCATCTCCATCCTGCTCGGCGCCAGCTTCAGCCGCTACCAGGTCGAGGAGAGCGTGGAGCACCTGCTGGCGCCCCAGCACAGCCTAGCCAAGATCGAGCGCAACCTCGTCAACAGCCTCTTCCCGGTCAACCGCTCCAAGCACCGTCTCTACTCGGACCTGCAGACCCCCGGGCGCTACGGCCGGGTCATCGTCACCTCCTTCCAAAAAGCCAACATGCTGGACCAGCACCACACCGACCTGATCTTAAAGGTGAGAGGGGGGCGGGTGCGGGCAGACTGTGCCAGCGCCGCGGCGGCTGTCGGGCTGGCTCTGCGCTGGGGTCCCGGCTCAGAGCGCCACCTCTCCTAGCCCAGGCGGCTGCCGCAGGGGCTCTCCTGCACCGCGAGCCCCAGGGCGGCCGCCTGGAGCCTCCCAGCCTCCTGAGCAGGGAGCGTCGGGGTCCGGGTCCAGACCTGTCCGCGTCGCCTCTGCCGCCACCCGCAGCTGCTGCAACAGTTGGGGCGGCGACGGCCACAGTGCTGTGGTCGGTGCGCTTGTTTTGGTCGCAGTGGGCTTGGGGGCAGGGAGGCTTTGGGGTAACTGGGCCAGGAAGGAGCAGAAGGAGAGAAGACATTCTGTAAAGTCCTACTACTTGAGAACAAAATACTATGCTTGGAGAGGATTCCGAGGTACCCCTCTCTGTCCTCAATTTTGTTTCTCCCTTTTTCTGCACCCCCCGCCCCCGAGTGTTTGTGGAAAGGTTGTTGGTGGGAGAGGTTGGGAAAGGGCAAAAGAATGTGAAGCGGGATGGTGAGGAAAATGCCTCCCACCCGCCCAGAAAGAAATGTGGTCTCTGGCGAGGACAGGGGGCTGCCCTGCTGCTGTCTTCTCCGGAGCGAGGTAGCCATCTCTATCTTCTAGGGTACGAAATTATGTTTGTAATTCGCAGTTACTTCGTCTTTCACAGTAGCTCCTCAAGAAATGCCAAAACTTTGGGAAAAGAGGGAGCCGATCAATCCACTTTTATTTGGGTGCATCTGAGCATGGGGTTGAGGGGCAAAGCCAGAAGGGTGAGAACAGAAGTCGGGCTGTGTGGCCCCCGAGAAGAGCACGGGAAACGGAGCAGCTGGTTAGAGGGTGACACTCGCAGAAACCGGTTTTGCCATCAGCTTGAGGTGGGAATTTGGCGTGGAAAGTGAGGTTAATGGTGGTAACTTTCAGGAAGTTCCTAAGAAAAGCAGAGGAGTGAGGACTACAGATGGAAAAGTAGAGACCTCAGGAGAGAAAAGTAAAAATAGGTGAGAATGTTCCATCTGAATCCCTGACGGGGATTGTGGGGCTTGTTTACTTAAGGTTCTCCTTTGGGGAGGGCAGACAAGAACCAGTCCCAGCTGGGACTCTGGTGCAGAGGGATGGAAGGAAGGTGATGGTTTTGTGTGAGTCTTTAGTCCAGATCTGGTACTAGAAGCCGGTTAGATTTCTAGTCTACTTATCCCAAGGGGAGTCTGCCGGGAAACTTGGGGAACTCGTTCCTCTTCTTTTCCTCTACAGGTAACAGTTTATCCCTAGAGACAAGACAATTTTCATCTATTATTTCCCTCCCTCTGTTTGTTGACATGTTATCAATCAGCAATTAGTAATGAGGGGAAGCTGACTAGGGGCTCAGTGGAATTAGAATCTTCCCACACTCAGTGGCTCACAGATCACACATTTACTCATCATAGAGCCTTAATAACATTAATCCTGAGATGTTTGTTTTTCTCATGATTAGACTTCCGGCATCATTGGTTTTTTTTCTTCAATACTTTAGTGACTATATTGTGACACACAGATAAATACTGCTCCAAAAGCTTCCCCAAGAAAACATGTAGTAGATTCATCATGGGCGTAAGGAAACTATAATTTAACCAGTCTGACAGTTGGAAATGCCCCATGTTTTGATTGATGATCTACTAAATGATATTTCTCTTTCTGTGTTTTTTTCAAGGTGATGTTTCCATTGGCTTATTTCCCCCCTCACAAACTGTGACAGGCAGTTACCATTTACATTCACTCTCAAGGTTAATGAGACATCAACAAGCACATCAGATCTCTTTCAACTGGATTATTTCTTCCCTATTTGATTTTGATCAGTTCAGGACAGAAAACAGTATAATAAGAGAAGGCTGAAACTGGAGAGAGGGAGGCTTGGCTTTGCCTCCATGTCTAAAGGGCAATTTTAAAGGACAATGGTCAAGTCAGTGGATTGTTTTAAGAAGTGGGAGCGTTTTTCATCTTCTAGGTGTCTGAATAAAATCCAAACCAAGCCTAATAGTGGTCCGAACTCATTTCTAGCTGATGACTCTCTGGTTAAATGAGTGAATATAGCTTATAAAAACCCAGACTTATGAAACCAAGGGAAAGGTCTTCAATTTTAAATTATATATTCAATGTTTTCTTTCTGCATCCAGCCCTTATTTTTGGTAGGTATGGAGCCAGGGGACAGGAAAATGGACCTTCAGTAGTCATGGTAATGTAAAGTGTGGGAGTGAGCACTTATTTTTTTAATTTTGTTTTTCCATTTAGAGACATGATGACTTGTCCTTTACAAAAGGTGTCAGGAGTGAAAGAATCACTGCTGTTGTCGGTACTAGTGTTATTCTGATACCTCGTTACTGGCATCAAGGATAGCATTGACAGTGAACACTATACACACCACTGAAGAGTCCCTGCCTGTTTAATGGCATCGTATTTGAAATTAAGTGAAGTGGACAAAGCATAAGGAGGGTCTGAGGCTTTTTCAGACCCCAGTACAAAACACAGGAAGTAACTTGTAGGGCTGTGTAGGGTGTTGCTTCAAGCATGAAGATTAGACCCATTCTCTCCTCTTAATGTTTTGGGATTGTACCTGTTCAGTGAAGGCGGAGATCCCTCTTGGGATATTGGTCCTGCTATTTGCTGACAAAAAAAATAGACTGGGAGTGATGACAGAAAACGAAAAGCCTGGCTGACGTTTTTAAATGTAATTGAGAGTATTACAGAAAAATATCTGTATTTGAAAATCCAGCTGATCTGGTTTGGAGGAGCTTTCTCGAATTTGCGCAAGTGATGTGATTATCGTACCCTGACACTGTAGCGTAGAAGTTGACCCCACACCGAGAGGCAAGACTCTTCCCAGCATTGGTTTACCCGGAAGGCTACAGGGCAAAAATGTAATATTAGGCAGAAGTGGGTAGGACCTGGTGGCGCTGATAAGGGCTCAAGCATTATTAATTTCTGAACCTCTTTAAATAAATGCTGAAACATCTTCCTTTTCCTAGAAAATTAAATCTAGCTGATTAGATCTTTTAACAGAAAATCCATGATGTTCATCTCAAAGCAAATTTCAAAGTAGGCCCTCACTAGCTTTTATAGATACGTTTCTTTGCGATCACCTAAAATGAAGTGTAAGTAGGTCCCTTTGATAATTGATCCAGGCTGTTAACAAAACAATACTTGATATTCCAGAATCATCCATGTAAAGTGAAGAATCAGTACAGCCCAGTACTTATGATAATGACATCATCTTTATAGCACTTTATAGGTTATAAACATACAGTGTGTTTAAATACAGTAAACCAGGAAAAATACTATATCCCATTTCACATATGAGAAAACTACTCGTTAGAAGTTAACTGACTTGACCATGGAAAAAAGACAAGGCTAGAACCAGAACCGGACTGGATCCAGGGTTTTGGACTCCAAGCCTAGTGT